AGGCAGCCTACGGGAGCAAGGGATTAGGGAAGTAAACGCCGTTTTTACTGGAACCCAAGGCATAAATGAGCATTTAACTGTTGCAGTGCAGGGGAATCTCCATTGCAAGGGTATTTTTTGGTTTTCCCCTTCAAAGCAGAACTACAGGCAGAGAGTTTTGTGACTTGTGGTAAAAAAAAAAATGGGCGGGGGGCCTCTGATGATGTATATCCCACATTACTGCTAATTAGTGTAAAAATCATACTTTTATTCATGCCAGAGAGGACTGGTAGTGCTATACTTCCAGTGCTGTGTCTCTAACAGAAGCCACAGTGTCGTTTATCTGCCTCTTCCATACACAGAATAGATGGCATTCTATGAATGGACAAGGGGAGAGGTGGGGCATATAAATGAAACAGCTTCTGTGTATGAGAGCTGCAGCCTTCATAACTGCAGCACCGGAAGAACAGCGCTAGTTGTACTCTCCCGCATGAATGAAAATATTTTCTTTACACTACACAGCAGTGATCCAAATGTGGGACATACATCTATGAGATACCATTTTTCCTGACACAAGTCACAAAAACCTCTCTGCCTGGAGTTCTGCTCAAATATATTTATTTATATACAGTATCTGCCCAATGTTTCCAAATGGTTCAGTACCTGGAGAAAACACGATGAAGGATATTGACAAGCAAATTGATGACAAAATTAGGCCAAAATCAGGCTGTCTCAAAGCCTACACTTTTTTTTATGCATTTGTGACCCCCAAACCTGCAATCCTGGGTAGGTAACAGACAGTTTTACACGACTTTGGGACAGATTTGGCAGTGGGGATGAGACCAATTTTCACTCAAAGCACAAGTACAATTAAGAAGTGGTTGGGGGGTCAAGTTTAATTTTGTTGCAGGGATACTTTATCTGCAAAATGATGATAAATCTGTCTCATAATTGGTCTTTTTGCTCCGGTTTAACATTGCCTTACTGCGCGACAGAATTGGATCAATGTCCCCCTTTGGCCACTTTCACATGGCGGTTCTAATCATATCTGTCAGTTTTTCAGGCGGAAATGATTGGAAGCCCAATGTAAGTCCATAGGCAGGTGGATGTAAACAGACGTGCATCTGTATACATTCCATTACCTCTAAGACTGTCTGGATCCAAAAAAAAGTCTGTGTCCTTTCCCATAGGATGCTATGGGGTGCTACTGCGCAGGCACAGCCAGCAAAAAAAACATGGGGAGCCACAGGCATCAGATCTCAGGAAGTATGAATCTGCAGAAGGGGAGGGGGAAGAAAGAATAGGTACGCTTTGTCTGAAACTGCACTTATTCTTTAATGAAAATGGAGCAAAACACATGAATACGTCAACACAAATCAACATGTCGTGTCATCAGATGCGTGTTTTGATGCGTTTCCATTGCTTTCAAAGTAAAATGCATCTGCCAAAAACTGACAAGTGTGAATGGGCCCACAGTCTTGTGATAACATTCTCCACACACAGTCTAAGCTGTGGTTAGTCAGCATTGTAATTTAGAAAATTCTGCCAGCACAAAGTTTGTCGGCATAGCCGCTTGTAGTCTCAACCGAGGGCTCCAGTGACTGGGTGATAATGGAGGCGGAACGATTTGGAGACAGTTGCCACCCCATAACAGAAGGTGCCTGAACAGTGACTTTCATGACACATTTACCAGGTATCAATTAAGTACAAAACTCCGGGCATATATTTTCCTAACCATTGCAGTGGGGCTACCCCTGCAAATCAGAGTTAAAGGAGAATCATCTCCATAAATTAAGCTGACCAGTGAGGCTGAAGCTGTCACAGATTGGGAACTCAGCAAACAATACTGCCGATCACAAGTTCCCAATCCTCTCCCTACAGAGAATGGCGAGTGTCAGTTACCGATCCCCACAGGAATTCCCCCCTCCCCTCTTCAATTCAATCCTCCAGCGCTGACTGGTGAAACGGACTGAGAGGGCAGGCACAGCTGGCTCTGCCTCTGGATAGGCAGAGCCCGTTGTCAATCAGCCAGCGCGGTGGATCTTGACAGTATTGTCCCAGTTGCGGCGCGGCTCTACGCTCTCAACATATAGAAAACAATATCCCACTATATGCTGAGTTTTGGGTCACCGGAGGACATTAGGGTGTCCTCCTGTCACCCTCAAGAAAACTATGGCCAAAAAAGGTTAGGCCATAGTTCTTTTAAGTTTTCGTTTGCGTCCAGGGAGTAAAATAGCCAAGATATACTCATCTGAACCTTGCAGCCAGCTGGTTGTTAGAACGGTCCCTGGAACTTCTCTCCTCCTTCGTTCCAGCAGACTAAGGTCCTGTGAGCCATCATGTCCTATACAGTGTATAGGGCGTGAGGATGCTGACAGACATTCCATCACCAGAGCAGAGGGGAATAGAGGCTGCATAGACTGGGCTAAAAGCCAGCTGGCTCTGAGGTTCAGGTGAGTATATCTCACTGCAAGGGTTAAGAATACTTATGTCTGGAGTTGTTTTTTTAAGGAAAGCTGCATAGTAAAATGACAAAAAACAACTTTGGAAATGACATTAACATGGTAAGGGTTATATGAGCATTGAAGGGGAATTTCACCCAAGAAATCATCAATGAACTTTAAGCAGCCATATAAAACTTGTACCTTGATGAATGCATAGCACCATGACTTGTCTTCAGCTGCGCTCTGGTTGTCCAGGAATCAGCATTGGAAAACTGCCAGCAACACCATACAACTTATGGCGTCGCTCAGCCTGCCTTGTGCTATCTATGTCTTTGACAGCATCAGAGCACAGAGGAAGTGTTACCCAGTCAAGCCTTGCAAACGCTAGATGTAAATGTAGATAGCATGAGTGCCACAACGAATTGTATAGTGTTGCTGGTAAATGGTCAGCAGATTCCAATGCTGACTGCTGGACAACCGGAGAGTGGAAAGAAGCCAAACATGGTGCTATGCATCTACATTGTACACACGTGATATGGCTGTTTAAAGTTCACTGATCATTTCTAGGGTGAACGTCCCCTTTAAAACAGCAGTTTGCCTGGAGTTCTAATTAAAAACAGAATGTTGAGTTGTAGTTCAGACATTCTAACAGTTAACGTGGTGACACAAGGAAGTGCATATTCATAGGGCTGAGTGAAATGGTGCCAGTGCATTGAGGAAGTACATACTATGGGCATCTTTAATAAGTACATTTATGAACTTCTAGATTGACAGGGTTATTAGGTGTGGGATAGAACTTATGGAAATTCAATCTACAAATACAGATTTATTTTTACTTTTTGACCATAGATACCCTTTAATCGTTAATACATAAAGAAAATCTGCAGAGGAAATATGGATGTTACTATTGCTGACCTCTTCTAAAAATACTGGTTTCCTGGCTGTCATGCTGATCCAATAGCTTTGATACTTTCGGAGTTAAGAAACTGGAACAAGCATGCATATTTACCCTTTAAACAGCCACAAAACACATGTACCATGTAGATGCATAGCACCATGTTGACTTCTGTCCGCTCTCCGGTTGTTCAGTAATCAACATTGGAATCTGCTGGCCATGTACCAGTGACACCATTCAACTCAATATGTTGATCAGCCTGTCTCATGCTTTTTACATCTTGTGATTGCAAAGCTTGACTAGGAAACACTTTTAAAGACATAGATAGCATAAGGGAAGCTGGTCGCCACAATGAGTTGCATGATGTCGCTGGTATCAGCCGGCAGTTTCCGATGCCGATTGCTGGACATTCGGCACGTGGACAGAAGTCATACATAGTGCTATGCATTTATCAAGGTGCATCTGTTACATGGCTGTTTAATGTCCATGTAATAATTCTAGGCTGAACTTCCACTTTAAATAAGCTCAACTGACTTTGCCAAAGAATCCATTACAAAACACAAACCATAAAGATCGATAACATACAGGATGGCTACTTTTACAAATCCAACAAAAAGCTTTTTTGTGACTCTTCATTGATCCAGGCAGAAAATGAGAGCGAACCAAATTTAGTAGAGGAGATGAGCTAACGTGTGACTACAGGCATTTTACATCACTGATGGAAATCCACATCCTGTCATTGGATATTCTTCTACAACAATGAGCTTGTTCTTCCAATGTAAAACCTGCAGCCGCTCACATCCCTTCCAAGCGTTTAATCTTCCTGGCGACCAAAATAAAATAGGAAACCTTGACAATGCATTTGCACGCACAGGTGGTAACCAACGCGGAGGCGAAGGTTAATCCCTATTGTCACACATCATCACGATCCAGGGTGACTCCAACACAAGTTAGCCACCTCCTGCTTGCCTTCCAATGACATCAGCACACACTATGGTCTCCCTGGTCACACAATACAAGGTGGCCAGTCCCTTGCTACATACACACTAGTCCCTGACACTGAAAGAACAGCAACTCCCATGCTGAAAATGCCTCTGCAGGCCCGTCAAAAACTGCCTGGGAAAAGAGGATCAGCCCATACCCATCTCAGACAATTGACTGCAAAGGGGGGTGGGGTGTGTGTAAGAAGGGGAATACTACATAAGAGCTTCATCCAACTGCCAAAGTTTAAAGACAAGCTCTCAATAGAACATGGGAAGGGCAGGGCTGCTGCCATGGCACTTAAAGGATCTCTCCCCCCTCCTTTCCCATCTGCACACAAAGTCATCTTCCAGTCTGCAGTAGTGACTGTTTGCAAAGGAATGTTAAAGTAGTCTTTTAAATAAGTCATGTACTTCCTGCACTCCACAGCCCCATAAACAACACAAGCCCCTGCCGGGCAGCAGACAACTAAGTGGTAAAGTAACGGATCTCACATAGCGACAAGTGGAGATCTGAAAGAGCCCCCCCCACCCCTCTCTCCCCCCCGGGGACCTGACACAGGGTGGGGTTTACATCCAACAGCATGACTATGCAGGAAGAAAGTTATGGAAGAAGACGAGGGCCAAAAAAAGACTAGGGATCCCCTCGACACTGCAACCCCGCCCCCCTACCCCCCCCAAAAAAATAACAACTCAACTCACCGTACAGCCTGCAGAGGAGCAGCCAAGCAAGGGCACCGGGAGATCGCAGGACGGCACGGGCCATGATGGTGTAGGGGTCGCCGAAGAACTCTGTGCCCTTCTCTCCCCCGATCGCAGCTGCTGGAACACAGCACAGCTCTCAGTAAAAAAAGAGCCGACTGGGAGGGGCCAGCCTAGACAGATCTCACATGTCACCCGAGAGCTGCTGGGCACCCCACTAAAGACCATGTGTGACCCCCCTGACCTGCAACACCAACTGCTCGGAACTGAGGGATACAAATCCGATGTGGGAGCCTGGTGTGAGCTGGGAGAAGGCATCCCCGGCACCCCTCTAGACATGCCTAGTCCTTGCTCCTCCCTGCCTGCCACTGGGTGGTGCAAACTTCACTTATTCACGTACAATGCATGGTCAGAGGTCTGCAATTCTGATCATAAGAACACCACACAGCCCTACCTTCACTGCTTATCATTTACTAAACAAAAGGTTCATGTCACACAACATTCATTCCTGGAGTAAACTTCTCTCTATATGTGACAGGGGCAGTGCTTTCTTTCTTTCCTTCCCTTTCATTTTCTTCCTTCCCAAAACAAAAGGTACATTTCACACAAGATCCATTCATGGACTAAACCTCTCTGTATATTTGACAAGGGGCAGTGGTCTTTCTTTCTCTCTTTCTTTCTCTCTTCCTTTTTTCCAAAAACAAAAGGTAAATTGCACACGAGATCCATTCATGGACTAAACTTCTCTGTATATGTGACAAGGGGCAGTGGTCTTTCTTTCTTTCTTTCTTTCTTTCTTTCTTTCTTTCTCTCTTCCTTCCTTCCCAAAACAAAAGGTACATTTCACACAAGATACATTCATGGACTAAACTTCTCTGTATATGTGACAAGGGGCAGTGGTCTTTCTTTCTTTCTTTCGTTCTCTCTTTCTTTCTCTCTTACTCTCTTCCTTCCTTCACAAAACAAAAGGTACATTTCACACAAGATCCATTCATGGACTAAACTTCTCTGTATATGTGACAAGGGGCAGTGGTCTTTCTTTCTTTCTTTCTTTCTTTCTTTTTCTCTTCCTTCCCAAAACAAAAAGGTACATTTCACACAAGATCCATTCATGGACTAAACCTCTCTGTATATTTGTATATTTGACAAGGGGCAGTGGTCTTTCTTTCTCTCTTTCTTTCTCTCTTCCTTTTTTCCAAAAACAAAAGGTAAATTGCACACGAGATCCATTCATGGACTAAACTTCTCTGTATATGTGACAAGGGGCAGTGGTCTTTCTTTCTTTCTTTCTTTCTTTCTTTCTTTCTTTCTTTCTTTCTTTCTTTCTTTCTTTCTTTCTCTCTTCCTTCCTTCCCAAAACAAAAGGTACATTTCACACAAGATGATTGTATATACTTACAATGCATGGCCAGCACTCCCTGTGTTGTAGATCTTTATTATTATTATTTGAACACAGTATTTGATATAGTGCCAACAGTTTGCGCTGCGCAGCGTTTCAAGGAAGTCAGTACAGTTACAATGCAATTACAGTAGTTACAATCTAATTCAGTACTGCAGGACCCTGCTCGTGAGAGCTTACAATCTAAATAATAATAAACTGAAGGCAGGTAAGTGCTCTAACTCCTCCATCCAATACCAGCGTATCGAGCACCGAAGCTTCTGGCGCATTTTAGCCAATTGGATGATTTTTTTCCCCCGCCATTCACCAATCCTCCGCGCAGCTCACCGATGATCTGCACAGCAGCAGCTGCAACCCACAAGCACTTTTCCCCAACAACAGCAGGCAGCATGAAACCTGAAACAGAAAAACAGAAAGAACCAGCAAAGCAGCCTGAGAAATGTATTCATATTTATTTAATTAATTAAACCACCCATCTGAATAAATTAATTAGATAAAATAAAAAGGGGGTGTCATTGATGACAATCCCATGGAGCCACTTTTTGCATTCTTTATATGGCCATTATTAAGGCCACATTGGCTGAAACATGTTTAGCACATTTGAAGAAACAAAAAGCAGTCCTATGCATACCCTTTTCTTGCAGTCTGATGACATCATGACAGGGGGCAGGGGGGCATTCTTCCTGGACTGAGTGGCACTCACATAATGACATATGAGCAGCTCTCAATCCTGGAGTACTGTGAAGACCGCCCAATCACACAGATACAAAACATTAAGGGAGTATAATCATTGGATGATTTTTTTTCACGCAAAAAATTCACCAATCTTTCTCAAAGCTCATCGATGATTTGCTCAGCAACAGCCGCAATCCACAAGAATTTCTCCCCAGCAACACCAAGCAGCTCGAAACCTGAAATAGAAAAACAGAAAGCACCAGCAAAGCTGATTCAGATATTTATTTGTGTTTAATTCATTACTTAAACTACAAGACTGAATAAATGGAAGTAGATAAAATAAAAGTCAGTGGTGATAATCCCATGCGGCCACTTTACGTGTTCTTTTTACGGCCATAACAAGAGCTTTCCATGCCAGCAATTTCCTTTATTTAGACCTTTAAATGCCCGTACTTCATTCTTGTCACTCTGTCATATGGGAGGAACTTCTACATATCTGCAGTTGTGTGACTCAATGAAGTCCACATTGAGATGATACACTGTCATCTAATGCTCCCCACACACATTACAACTTTATATGACTGGATACAAATTGATTAGATAGAGTAGGTAGGTCCTTATATTACATTATATTTGGTAAATCTAAAGTTGATTGTAGAGAGATGGTACAGTCCAATTGCAATGTGTATGATGACAATTATTAAGATATATGCAAGCTGTGATTGTCTGGAAAACAATTACTGACATAAAAATCATTTATATGACCTTTTCAATGTGTACAGATAATTGTCATTATGGCACAAATTGATGTTCTCTGATACTGCTTACTTACTGAGCATAGCCTTTCCAGACGGGGGTGGACATGCATCTTGGTTTGTCCAAGTGTAACGGGCCCTGTAACTTATTTTATTGTAAAAATAAATCTGCCATTGCTGCTCAATATAATACTATTGGTCCTGGGATCTTACATATTCCTTAAATCTTTCATATCTCCCAGTTAAAAATATTCATTTGCATAATCTGACTTAGGGCCTCATACACATAAGCATCAAAAAGGGCATTTTCTATTTGGATGCAAACCTATGTGTTAGAATGGCAAAAGCAGCGCTTGGCAAGAACAGGTTGCATTTGATCAGCTGTGCCTGCAGCTCAAACGCACCTCAATAGGACATGCTGTGACTAAAGAAAAGCAGCCTAAAGCAGGTCAAGTCAATGGGATTTTGACCTCACTTGCTCCCTGTTGTTCAGTAAAGACATAATATCCTCTGGTGCCCTAGTTTAATCTGGTCATAAACTCTAGTTTCGCCTGAAATTCGAGCTGTAGGTGGCCCTATCAAAAGCACGCTATTCAACAAAAGTTCATTTTTAAATCAACGTTTGTCAAAGAAGACGGTCAGAAAATTGTCAATTGAACAGTGACCACAGCCAATCAGCTATTGTCACTGTTGCGGGTTCTGGCTATCAGAATACAATAGCCAGCAATAGAGATTCCTCCATCTACGCCATTTATGGTGGATGGAGGAACTGAGCACTTTTTCTCATTCCGGTCCGGTCCAATGGAGAAAAAAATACAAGTGCATGGTCAGCTTTACCATCCTTGCTATTGTGATTCGCCCAGATAATTGCTCCAGTCTAGGCATGCACCCATGCCTTTTTTTCAGTATCGAGTACCGATATTTTTTTTTTTACGGTATTGATACAGAGTACTGATACCGTTGCCATGTGCAGGAAGGGTCATGATTTGCTTCCCAACTTCCTGATTGCCTTGGAAGCCGGTGTTCTATCGCAAGAACACCAGCTTTACTTGCCGAGGCTGCCTGGCTTCCTGACCAATCAGGAAGCTGGGCGGCGTTTCATGACCAATCAGGAAGCCAGGAGGTGGGTCACGATGTGCCACCTGGCTTGCCGATTGACTAGGAAGCTGGTTTAATTTTTTCGCGGCAGCCTGGCTTCCTGACCAATCAGTAAGCTGGGAGGAGGGTCATTACGTGACGCCAGGCTTCTTGATTGATTAGAAAGCCAGGCTGCCTAACAACAAGTGAAGCCGGATTCCTAGCCAATCAGGAAGCCGGGAGGAGGGTCATTATGTGCCGCACGGCTTCCTGATTGGTTAGGAAGCCAGGCTGCCTAGCAACAAGTGAAGCCAGCTTCCTAGCCAATAAAAAACCCGGGATGCGGGTCATAACCCAGTTATCAAGTATCAGAGGTAAGTATCGGAGCATTTGGGCGAGTACGAATACTTGCCCAAATACTCGGTATCTGCACCGATATTTATACTAGTATCGATATCGGTGCATCCCTACTCCAGTCCATTGACAATCCTGGTACTTTTGACTATGTGGAACATGTGCTCATTCAGCCATCCCAAAATGCAGTGCTCAGTGACTAAGCTAATCATGAGGCCATGAGCGCTGTCGCATATACCGTGTTTCCCCGAAAGTAAGACCTACCCCGAAAATAAGACCTAGCACTAACAGCGGCTTGCCTAGCAGAGTGCAAGAGCCAGCCATAGGGTATGGTAAGTATTTGCATAGGACCGTTGCAGGGGCCGCAGCATGCACCTGGCAAAAGTGGGTATCTTCAACACAGCGGAGCAGGGTTTTTGTTTTAATGTAGGTTCACCCACATTAGACCTGGACACTATGATACAAACATATTAAGAAGTACTGTGAGGTGGAATTATCAAAGCTGGAACAGACAGAAGGTGGAAAAGTTGCCCATGGCAACCAATCTATGTCTATATTTCATTTTCAAAGCTTAACTGAACAAACTAAAGATAGAAGAGGATTGGTTGCTCCAGATTCTGTCTGCTCCAGTTTTAATAAATCCTATTGGATGCATACTGTTTGCTTTCAGGTGAAACTGTATTCACAGCCTATATGATTACCTGTGGAAGGTCTGCGAATGGTATCTGCCATTAAATTGTACCTATCCTCCCACCCACAGTGGAATTTGTGAGACTCGTATGATCTTCCCCATTTGCATTATTATTATTATACAGGATTTAAATAGTGCCAAAAGTTTGCGCTTTACAATATAACATGCTTTTTCTTTTTTTTTCTTTGATAGACTTTCTGCGGATTACATTGCTACAAATGTAGAAATATAAGAATAAAGCGAGAAATCGCCCATTTGACAGAAGACTAATTAAGTAGCTGTTAAAAGGGATTGAAAAGCAGAAAAGTGCACCGCCTAGTGGTCATTAGGAGGTTGGATACACGACTACAGGGATTGTAGGGATGCCCTGTTGTATATAACACTAGACAAGTTCTCTGTGCCCAGGAAAGAGGCAGTGCATACACGATCAGAGTCCAAAGTGTGACAGGGCTGGATGAGGAATGTGTATTTTCAGCACATTCCTCACGAAACAGAGGACTACCCATGACAGTACAACTTCTTCTATTAGTATTATTTTTATAAAGTGACACTAAACTCAGGAGTAAATCTTAAAAATGCATTCAAGTACCCTAACTATTAATAAAAAATTAGCTTATTTGTGTATCACTTAGCTGTAGATCCTCAAATCATCTCTGAATTGGTGCTGACTCTGTCCTTCCTATTGGGGGTGGCTACTTTTGTTCTCCATGGTAGCCTCCGCTTCAAACTCGCTCCCGTGATAGGCTACAATCTCTCGTTTAGTTTACTAATTGGTATTGAGATAAGAAGAACATAATTGTGTGCACATGAACAAAGGATGCAGATGCATGAACAAAGTATGTGTAAACCCCATGACAAGTATATCTAAAGGCCAAACTTTTTTTTCTTTCATTTTTGTATAGTGTAGACCAGGGGTGCCCACAATTTTTGTGTTAAGATCTACTTTTCAAATGACGAGCTACATTAGATCTACCAACGGAAAAAAAAACTCCCTCGCTCTCCTGGCTGTCTCTACTCGCTCTCCTGGCTGTCTCTCCTCTCTCTCTTTCCTGGCTGTCTCTCCCCTCTCTCTCTCCTGGTTCACCTTGCTGTATTTTGCAACAGGCTGTGTAAACTAATATTCTTTGATGTAATACATAACACTTCAACCACTAGAATCCACCAGAAAGGTGTGAGGGAGCTCGGCTCAGCAGACTCAGGCTAATAGGTAATCACGTGTGCACAGCTAAATAAATATACCAAAATGAAATAAAGGGGCCACCATTCACACCCTTCGTGACCTACCAGCATCAGCTTTGAGAGCTACTGGTAGATCACCATCTACCTAATGGGCACCCCTGGTGTAGACAATGGTTAAAACCTCTGGCAGTTTTTTTTTCTCTTTGTGTCTAATTGAAGAGATCTCCCTTCACTTCCTGTCCCACAGATACTTTAAGAAAAGAGAACAAATCTCTACAAAGTAAGGTAAACCCTCCCTTAGACTACTGTTGCCGTACCTGGGGAAAATGGGACACAAACAAATGGGAGTGGGAATGTATGCAGGAACAATTCCCAATGGAGTGGGAAGTATGCAGAAACGATCGGTTTGGAGACATCCAAAAAACAATTCTCTTAAATATATTGCTCGACAAATGTTTCTTGCCAATTCCTCTCAGCCACGGTATCCAACTGCATCCTCCACTGTCCCTAAAAAAATGCCCCTGCTGCATCACAACACGCTGTCCAAGCCTCACAGCATGCAACGTGTGCTACTAAAATTTGCAAAAAAATTGTAAATGATACTAGTGATGGTGATGTATTTGTTTGTGACCCATTTTCTACAGGTACGACACTTTAAAAGCCCCATTGAATTTGTTTTGTTTATCTTTCCGAATCTTGATTAAGACACATAACAGAAGTGTGGGGAAAAACATTTAGAAGGCTGAAAAGTCCCACATTGCTGTGAAGGCATCTAGAGCCAAAGCTCAAGGTCATCTGAAAGGGTATATGCTTCAAAGACATCTTCTGCTCACCACCCAGTTAACTGGCAAAACTTAACTCATACAATCTGCCAGCAAGTTATGCATCCCTGGAATGTAGGGTGCTGTAAAGTCCTTCAGGTGTGACTACACCCACTGGAAAATGTGGGAAAGGTATGCTCCTGGTGCCACCATGCTTCACC